CCCCAAAACCCCAAAACCCCAAAACCCCAAGTTCTATTACAGAATTGAATATATTATTGTAGCTTAGTAATTTAATGGGTCTGGGTTCAGTGCAAATAGGCGGATCGGAAGGTACCACAAGAAAAGCCCAAGCTAAAAAGTGGGGATTTAAACCGAGTTTTGGAAAATTTGGGAGGTAGTTATGACCCCGAAAAGTTTTAAACAGGTTGTTAACTAGGGAGAAGAGCATAGAAAAGGGGATCTTTAAGGAATTTTTAAAGCTAATTTGAATCTTCATCGTCAACTTGATCCTGGACTCTGTCTTCAAATTGCTGTGGGTTGAACTTATTCCCATTGCTAAAGTAGCTATTGATCATATCTCTCACACAATCAGCTGTGTAGGTAAAGTTGACCTTTGCTTTTGCCCCATTGAATGCGATACTATGAAAGTCATACACCAAAGCAGCTTGAATTTTTGTGAATGTTCCTAGATATGTCTTATGCTTGTTCATAGTGATCAAGACTTGCCAGTTGTTGCCATTTTTGGAGACTCCAATATACTTAGATCCTCTGTCTTGGTTATGAGACTTAGTTCTACAATCTGGGCTCTTTGACCTGGCTTTAAGTCCAGTAAAAACGTTATTGTCAATCAACTATATCAAAGTATAAACCAAGTTTTTCAGTAAGAAGCGGGATATCACCCATAAATACAGAAAGGCTATAGCCTTTCTAGAATATGTTAAGACTATCATAAAGATAATACCTTAAGGATGTGTAGAAGCTGCTTAGTGCAATTAACTTCTGCATTCCTTCTCTTTCTCTCTTTTATCGGTTTACCAGCCTTGGTTCTCCCATCTCTACTTTGAGATCTTAGTTGCATCTCTGACTCATAAGACTGTTCGTTTGATTTTGACTCTTCCTTCTGGGTGTTTCCTGAAGGTATTTCATTGATTACTTCTGTCTCCTTGTGAATCAGCTCTGGAGCCCAGAACTGTCTAGTCCCCTTCAGCTGATTATGAAGTGTCATAAGCAAGTCTCAAGGATTTATAGAGCTCTTAAATATGTCAGCTAGTCAAGACTGGACTATGTTCTAACAATAATTTAGATAATAAGCTTACAAATTGAGGGATAACATCCTCAGCTGAATCTAACTTTGTTTGATCGAGTTTACGAAGCACTTTCTCCATTTAAATTTGATAATTATATTTATATTTCACAGATAGAGAATATCTAGGGGTTTTGGGGTTTTGGGGTTTTGGGGTTTTGGGG